ACACCCTATTTCGTTGAAATATTGGTTCAAAAGAAAGAAATGGTGCCAAGGCCATTAAAATTGCTGAGAAAGCCAGTAGATTGACATTCTGAGCTTCCAATTGGTCATTCATTTCATACATAGAAGTAAGAATATATAAGGGAGCATTGCCAAAATGAAAAGAGGTGGGTGGGGTGCCATTGTGTTTGATTTATCACATGAGCAGTATCTTAGCAAATTGAAAAGATAAGAGGTTCATATTTTATATTCTAGCTTGTCAATAACAGTAATTTGAGTTTCTAATTCCTACAATACTATAGACTAAGTATTTTGACTTCAGAAACATCTAATTTGAACCTGATGTTTAGCTGTGTTTTTAATATTTACTTTTAAATTAAGAAATTGAGTAATGTATAGTACTAAAACTTGAATTATAATCTACAGTTTGATATCAAACTTACTGGCATAAGTTCATGAAATAGTAGTTCAATAAAATTTTGAATGAGAGTCAACAAGCGAGATGACATAGCCTTTTGACTGTGACCAGTCTCGATAGGGTTAAGGAATTTAACTCACCAGTAATGATCATCACAAACTACTCATAAAAGATAACCTGTGCAAGGGTATAAACTTAGAGGCTTTTCAATATCTTAGGTTAATTATATTCTAAATGAAATTATTTTAAGTTATTGTCAAATTTGTATCATACTCTCACTGACTCTTACTTGTTATTCTATAATCTATAAACCTTGTGTTATTAAATACCTTCTCATTCAATGAAGTAATTACAATATATAAATATTTAAGTAAACTACAAAAAATTCTATACAGACTACATCTAAAGAAAGGATAGTGTGAATTTTACACAGCATATCCAAACCTAAGAAAAAAAAATGGTGAGAGAGCAAAACTGTCCTTGAAGTTAGTATTCCAGCCCCAATATGATGTTTGGATGTAAATAGCAAGTCTTTAAAGTACTACTATACTAAACCAAACCTTTTATTACTAGAGTAGCTCCCTACTGGTTTCACTCTCTAACACAGGTATTCTGTTGAGGTTCTCAGTATATATAGATTCATTGGGAAAGGACCTCATGCAATGTTCTAGGAGGCAAAGCTCAGCAATTCATCAATACTACTGATTACATATGAGCAGGGATTACAACAATTAGTCAAAATTAGTGTTTCTGATTATTACTGTTCTCAATTATTCCAACAACTCATTAGTCAAAACATTAGTGGTCAGAAAATAAATCACCTAACTCAAATCAGTGTTTCAGATTACTGATATTTTTAGATTATTCCAACAATAAATTAAATTTCTAAATTACAATTAAATTGATTGTCATAAAAATAATCAAGTAATTGAAATTAATTTAGGATTATTACTATTTTGGATTATTCCAACTATCCAAGCAATCGAAATACTGTTACTATGTTTGTCGTTAAGTGCAAAATTACATAATGGGTTTTCTGCCCAATTTTAACCTTAAGTAGTTTTTAACTTCAAATATATTCAGCTTTGATGATTCAGGGGTCTTGGTTTCAATTTCCATTGCCAGAAATCTTGCTCACACTGTATTTGTTATGGCAAAGTTAGCAACTAAGGCTATCTGCCATTGTGACTAATTTTTAAATACACGAATAGACAGAAGGCAACTATCTAGCAGCACCCACTACAAACATTTTTTGTTTACTTTCTTTTGTCTTTTTGAAATGCTTACTAGAGTGAAGGCAGCACCCACTTTATAATATTTTCATGAAATGGCTAGACAAAAACAAACTGATTATTTTTGTAACTTGGCTAAAAAACAACTTATAAAACTACAAATGAGGTTTTGATACCTGAGGTGGGCATAGCACAGATAACCAATAGTATGTGTTTAATAGCAAACAAACATAATGGCAATATATTGGAATAATCAAAAATACAGAAAAACAGAAATGCCAATATTAATTAGTTGATTACTGTTGCAAACTCTGACACTAATAATTTAACCCTACTGACACAGGTCTTCCTATGGTCTCAGGTCAAAGGCCATGTCATAACATTTGTTCACTCGCATTGATAATTTTATTGAACGACTATTTTATGAATGTATGTCAATAAGTTTGGTATCAAATCATAGATTATAATTCAAATTTTTGTATTATACATTAGTTAATTTCTTAATTTAAAAGTAAATATTAAAGAAAAATCCTAAGTATTGATTTTTGTGTGTCATGTGGTATGTTAAAGGCAGCATTGGTTCAAACTAATGTTTGTGAAGTCCAAAGTCTGTTGTTTCTTATGAATTAGATACTCAAATTACTGATATTGACAAGCTAGAATATAAGATAAGAACCTCTTATCTTTTCTATTTTCTGAGATATTAATACATTTATTGAAACAACCAAGGTGGCCCCACCCACATCTTCAATTTTTGAAAATACTTTCTCACGTACAGCTACTTCACCCAATGACATATGTATAACCAATAGAAAGCTCAGAAACATCCCCCTAGTGGTTTTCTCAGCCTCTGCAAAGTATTTCCATAGCAATCTCTTTTTTTTCATGCTAGGTTCCAAGTGGTAAGGTAAGACATTAATGAGCTTGAAAAATCATATTTTTTAGATCCAAATATAGCTTTGTTACTAAGTTTGATAAATTATAGTGGAATTCTGTGGTATTGATATAGTAATTTATGATTTTATTTCAAAATGTATATATAAACCTAAAAAAATTTGTTTTCCATCCTCCACATGCAAAATTTGATAAGGCTTGGCAACTTTTTTTGGCAAGCACCAAACAAGTACAAAGATCATAACTAGAAGAGATAATTGTTTTCTATACTTCTTTATTTACTCTACTATGTCCTGAGAAAAATAACTGAAGTTTAAGAACTTATTTGTAAATAGTAATAATGTATATACGTATATGATGTATTATAACTGAAATGTGACTGTATTTTACTAAAACACAGTCAAGACATGTCACTTTGTAAAGGCTAGTTTTATACTATTGGATACAGTAACATGAGTACATGTGCACCACACCATTGTAACTTCTGTAATGTTAGCCATGCATAGCTGAAAGATAAATAAAATAAAAATGATAAATATATTTGGATGTATAATGTTATGAGATTTCAGTTTTTTAGAATAAACATTTGTGTTTTTGTGTTATAAATTGTTCTCATTGTAGAACAAAAAAAGCATAATTTATATCTTATTTCCAAATTTTATGTGGTGGTTACCTGTACAGAGATACGATAGTGAAAATAACATATAAAATAGTTTTTTCTAATAAAACATCTGGAGGTTATAAAGATTTTGTAGGTGAAATTAGAAAATTTTCTGATGCATAAAAGTATTTTTAATCTTAGAATAAAAATTACTTTGAATGTTGGATAGTCAACAATTGAAAAGAAAAATGCATGAGAAAAACATTACTAAAAAAATCTTAAAACTTGATAAAAAAAAACTGATATTTTATGAACGAAAGCCTTTTAAGAGAATCTGTGACAAAAGTACTCAAAAACCCCAAAGATATTAAATGACTTGTATGTAATTTAGATCACCTTACAGTTAGAATAATAATAAAAAAAAAATTCAGAAGCATTAGTTATTTCCATAAAGTTAATCAATTTATGACACTATCAATGCTCATTGGTAATTGATTGTATCAATAAACTGGGTTAATTGCTCAGCTCAATTTGCTAGTGAAATTAACAAATTTCATTTGTCTTCTATATACATAAAAGAGCAATGAACAGACTTGTTATACTTTTCATACAAAAATTAACTATTTTGGTGTATACTTTCTTCAGCTTTTGATTATTGTTCACCACTTGTTGGAATCACGTGCTAGGTTTGGCTATTAAAGATTTATAAATTAAAAATGGCCAAGGTGAGCACAGTACTTGTACTTAAATACATTATGGACAGCCATCCTTTAAAATGCTTTATTACATGCTCATGTATACAGACAGACTCTGGCAAACTAAAGACTGAAATAATTCCAAAAGTTAGATAAGTACAAGTGCATCTAAGTCTCACCCAATTTTACAGTGAAAATTCCCATAGTAATGCAACAATACCATCAAAAACAGGCAAGTCAGTCTTCCAGGCAGTAATCAGCAGTGTAAGTGCAAAATTTTTAGTTTGGTTTTGCTCTTTATTTTTTAACATCAATTCTTAGTATGAGGAATATTTTACAAATGCTTATTTTGTGTAAACTGCATTCTATGATCTTCAGGACTACACATTAGTTTCCTTTTTTTTAAAAATCAACTCACAAATTTGTAAGCTAAATGCTCTAGCATTAAGGTAAACCCAGGAGATTACTTTTTAATGAAAGAAACAATAACAGGCTCTAAGACTTATCTTTAAAAAGAAAACTTACCAGGATTACCTCCACCTTGGTTCTGAGAAGCATTTACATCCAGACCAGCAAACTAGTTACATCAGAAAAGTAAAAATAATTTCTTTACACAAAGAAAAACAAATATATATATAATTTGATTTAAC